CACACACACACACACACACACAGAGTCTCTCTCCACCTCTACCTCTCCACGAACACAATATTCTCTGGCATCCACAGGGACATCCAGGGATGCAGAAAGATTCTCACAATCATGCGCTGAGGGAAGCAGCCTCTCACACACACACCCACCTACAAAGAACAACACACACATCATCTTACACAGTGCTGGAACAGGCTTCCCACAAAGTTTTTGAGGCTGCTAGTACCTGGGCAGCAGCTTCAGTTCCTCATGCCTTGTGCCCCTTCTCAGCCTGGGGATTGCCAATGCAAGAACGGGAGGCAGGACCCCAAAGTGAAAGGAGGAAAGTCTCCTCCAGCCCCAGGGCTGGAGACCCAGTCGGGGGTGTGCCTCTCTCAGTGACTGTGTGAGTGGGTTGTGAGCCAGCACACAGGTATTCTCTGCTTGGGGCATGTTTTGCACAGCTTACACTAGGAGCACAACGGAGAAGCCATTATGTCTGCTCCTCGGAAGCTCTTGATGCAGGTTTCTGGGCGGGGGGTGGGGGGTGTTCAGTGTAAGAGGTTGAGCCAAAGATTCTGTTTCTTCTAGGTCATGCTTTAAGAGGGTGTGGCTGGGCCTGACACTGGAGCAGCCTGGCCTGAGCCCTCTGCAGATGGCTGGGCACATCCCACTCATGGCTTCCTTTTCTTTGCACTCTAGAAGCAGATTCCATACTTCTGAAGAAGCCAGAGAAACTGTTAGCAGGGCTTGACCAAAGTGGGCCACCCCCTCTCCCTGGAGCCCCCAGACGAAGAGGCAGTATGCCTCTGCCGTACAAGCACCAACTGCGGCGGGCTCAGGCTGTAGATGAACTTGACTGGCCTCCTCAGGCCTCATCCTCTGGCTCTTCTGATTCCCTGGGCTCGGGAGAGGCAGCCCCTCCCCAAAAGGATGGAGTCTTCAAAGTCATGCTGGTGGGGGAGAGTGGTGTAGGCAAGAGCACCCTAGCAGGCACTTTTGGCGGTCTCCAAGGAGAAAGTGCTCATGAACTGGAGGATACAGGTATTTGGGGAAGGTCTGCAGGGGCTGAGTGGACTCAGGGACCCATGTGCATGTGGCATGAGCAGCCTCTGGAGGCCAGAACCAAACAGGTTTCTCCACTGCTTTCTATGGCAGCCTCCCTGGAGGGGGTTTTCTGGTGCTGGAATCTGAGGTGTTCCTGGTTAACAGGTCTCATGAGTGTCGAGGAGCATTCTAATGGGCTTTATTCCCTTTGTTTCACAACAGAAGACACCTATGAGAGACGCATCGTAGTGGATAAAGAGGAAGTGACGTTAGTTGTTTATGACATCTGGGAACAGGTGAGGACTAGCATGTGGCAGCAAGCAAGTGATGTGGCTGGGACACCTGGGGAGAAGCAGTCTGCTGAAGACTAGCAGGACTCTAGGCCCTGGTTTCAATAGACTGGAACCTGCCCTTTCATTTGTAACATCTCTGAGAGCAAAGGGCCATACCAATATGCAATCACATGGCCCATGGCCCAAAGAGCCACTTTTTCCAGGATCTTCTAACCCAGGAGAAAGTCAGGATCTGAATTTGATAAGCCCTGCAGCTTCAAGCCTTGGCAAACGAACCCCATCCACAAATTCTTCAGCCTGGAAGTGTCTGTGACAAGAGCTCATGGCTCTGGAGTAATCAGGAAGGGGGAAAGAGTGAGGACTTCTGAGCATTTGCACAAAAGGCTACTATAGCAGCCTTTCCTGAATCAAGAGCTTCAGCATAGGCTGGCTAATCTAGTCTAGGATCCTGTGTCCCCAAGTCCCCCAGGCACTTGCAGGGCTCACATTAACCTCTACCTCCACAAACACACTGGGTATGAAAATTCTGCCATTAACTAACTCTGCTGTCCTAGGCAGGAGGCTCCTCTCTCACAGTTAGATTCCTCATCTGTGAGATGCAGTGCTAGACCTAACATTCCGCGGCTCTCTGCTCATCTGCAGGGGGACGCAGGGGGGTGTCTGCGCGACCACTGCCTTCAGACGGGGGACGCCTTTCTCATCGTCTTCTCAGTCACCGATCGACGAAGCTTCTCCAAAGTTCCAGAGACCTTACTTCGGCTCCGGGCAGGGAGGCCCCATCACGACCTACCTGTCATCCTCGTGGGAAACAAGAGCGACCTGGCTCGCTCTAGGGAGGTGACACTGGAGGGTGTGTATCCTGAGCCTATCCCATACTTGCGATCTCCAGGGGGCTCTCTCACCTTAAAGTGGTCTTACCTTCTGCACTGGTGCAAGAACTCACTTGCGTTTACCTCCCAGGCATAGAGGTCATGGTCCCTATACCCCGCCCCTAGGGCCCCAGGCATCCTTTCTCGCTTGCCCACATCTCTCCTCCAAGACCCTTCACACCCTCCACCTTGCTCCTCCACCGCCCACCGTAGGATCCTTTTTCGCTCGACTCCTAGCCTCTTCCCGCAGCACTCTGGGACCTGCACAGGCCCACCCTGAGCCGGTCCCTTCCTACAGAAGGCCGCCACCTGGCCGGGACGCTGAGCTGCAAGCACATTGAGACGTCTGCTGCGCTGCATCACAACACGCAGGAGCTCTTTGAGGGCGCGGTGCGCCAGATCCGGCTTCGGCGGGGCCGAGGCCGTGTTGGGGGCCAGCAGCCACAGTCCGGCAGCCCAGAAGGCCCCACGCCTCCTGCACGCAGAGAGAGCCTAACCAAGAAGGCCAAGCGATTCCTCGCCAACCTGGTGCCGCGCAACGCCAAGTTCTTCAAACAGCGCTCCAGGTCGTGTCACGACCTCTCAGTGCTCTGAGCCCGGTCGCCATGGCCACAGCAGTTGCCATGGCCACCGCGCCCTCGCTCGCCCCGCCCCGTCCGGCTTCTTTTGTGGAGGCCGTCTAGGAAACCAAAAATTCCCAGGATGCTCTGGGGTGACCATAGGGGCGGGGCTAGTGGGCGTGGCCACACCATTACAGCGTTCCCATGGCCGCCGCTGGGGGCGTGAGCCTGTGGAAGGGGCGGATGTAGGTATCGTGCGAGTGGTCGAGTGGTCGGGTGAGAAAGAAAAAGTCTTGGAAGGTTTTGTGGGGTTTTGTTTGTTTGTTTGTTTGTTTTTGTTTTGTTTTCTTAACGCTTGTTAACTTCTGTGAAGAAATTCTCAAAAATGGTAGCTGGAAAAGTGCTTGGTAGACTCCTGGACAGAAAGGATCTCCGTTGTACTCGGTCCGCCTTTAAGATAGTCTTAAAGGTAAGGATACGGAGATCCTGTTCCAGAGACTTCTGAAAACGCCCTGGCTGTTATCTCCCGCACTGGCCCACTTTGCCCTTTAGTGCTTAAGAAGAAGGGGCTGGAAGTGCTATTCTTGAGATTGAATTCTGCGATTTACTGTCCCACAATGGCACTTCCCCTTTAAGGTTATTAAAAGTAAAGTGTAAACAGAGTTTCTGCCTTTAAATGCCTGAAGAGTAGAGAGGTGGCAGTCCTTGGCCAGGGCCTGGGAGGCAGCATCAAGGGACCACCCCTTCCCTTTTCAATAAATAATTTTTCTATTTCATCTGTTCACTTTGACTTTCTGTTTTTGGAGCTCCCAGGGTAGGGATGGATGCGGGTGGCCACTGTTCTTATGAGAAAAGTCAGGGCGCCCAGAGGAGCAAGGAACCTAATCCCTAGAGAAGCGCTGCAACTTTATCCTGGAGTGATGTAGTTCCAGCAGGCCGGGAACTCTTACAGACAATCAAGGACACTTTGCCCATTTGCAGATGAGAGAACAGGCTTGGAGAGAAACAGGCCTGCTGGAAAGTCATTGAGCAGCAGCTAAGGCGCCGAGGCTGCACCTCATCTGGAGGCTACCAGCCTTCCAGAACTGTTCAGTTGTGGCTTGAACTGGTTCTCTCTGGGGCCCATATCCACTGGGGAAGCCCATTAGCTGGGGCATCATGGAGTCTATTAGCACCTCTGCTGGCAGGGCCCCATAGTCCCAGCTGTCACCTGCAGAACCCTGTGAGCACTGAAGCTGTCACTACCTCCCCTGGGGACGCCCACGCCTGCTGCTAGCTGAGCCCTGAGTTTGAACAAAGGGAGCAGAGGCAGCAGCTCTTCTCACCCCTAGACAGCCAGGACAGTTACGTGCGTTTCTCAGGGCCAGGCTTCTTTCTCACCAGCTCCCAGAACTTCATGATGAATGACAAGACTCCTGAGTCCTTGTACTTGAAAAGGAGCCCAGGAGGCCAGCTCCACATGGGTGGTTATGAGATGATCTGAACAGTGGCACTGGCTCTAGGGATACATTAGCTTTGTTAGTTCTTTTTTTTCCCCCTCCTTCCTTTTTTAAAGATTTATTTGCGGACTAAGCACCTGCTTAGGTAAGTGCAGGGACCAGGGTTTGAACTCCAGCACCACATGCTCTACGGGCCCCACTCCTGGGTGTGTTGAGCTGGCCACTGAGACAGGGAATGATGGCGCACATCTATAATCCCAGCACTGGGGAGGCTAAAAACAGAAGGATCACTATGAGTGTGAGCTGTGTAGCAAGACCCTGTACCAAATAAATCTTTTTTAAAAAATAGGTATTTGGGGCTGGTGAGATGGCTCAGTGGTCTAAAGCACCTACTTAGAACAAGCTTAACAAAGCACAGGGACCACGGTTCAATCCCCCAGAACCACATGCCAGCCAGCCCCGCCCCCTGGTGGGCTGAGCTGGCCACACACACACACACACACACATAAATAAATAAAATTAAAAAAAAATAAAAAATAAAAAATAGGTATTTGGTACACAGTCTCACGACACAGCTTGCACTCATAGTGATTCTCCTGTCTTGTCTCCAGCTGTGGGATTACATGCATGTGCTACCATGCCCGGTGTCGGCGGTGGGCTTCCTGGATCAGCATGGCATGTGGTACCATGGATCAAACCTGGGTCCTTGTGTTTGCCAGGCAGGCAAGCACTTAGATTGCTGAGCTATCTCCCCAGCTCCTACTTGTTCTTTTTATTATTTTTGGTTTTTTGTTGTTTTTTTTTTCTTGTTCTTTAAAGACTGTGTAAGGTGTTACTACTCATTTTACATCGGATGAAGCCATTTAAGGGACCAGGGAGATGGCTCAGTAGAATAAGTACCTCCCTGGCAAGTACAAGGGTCTGAGTTCAATCCCTGGTTCAGCAAAAAAAAAAAAAAAAAAAATAAGCTTGGCTGAGGTCACCCTGTAAACCACAAAGCTGGGGTTGATTTCCCTGTCTGGCTGACATTTAATGATTTTAACTAGCCCTACATCTGAGACTTCCCTTCCAATAGGGATTGGGGGGAGAAAAGGGAGTTGAGCAGAAGAGATGCAGGACTCAGTGGGCAGGACCATGTGCAGTTGACCCTGGTGAAGGGCTGGAGAAATTACATGCTGTGGTGGAACAGGTAAGCTGTAAACTCTGGGGAACATGACAAGAACCAAGGAAGGCAGTTCAAATTTTAAAACGCAGGAAAACATGGGGCCAAGGAGGACCAGATGGTTGTGCAGTTGGGTTGAAACCTCAGGCACATGAAGAGGAGGAGTTAAAGATGAGCATGGAAAAGAAGGCTTGGAGCCCCACGACAAAGGCCTTTAAATGTCAGACAAAGGAGTCTGTGCCTCCGCTCTGTAGGCAGTGAGAGTCCGGGGAGGTCTCTGACATTGGAAGTGACACAATCAGGAGGGTCTCTTGGGTTTAGAAGGCTGGGAGGGGTTTGCATGGAGTAGAGCTGCAGAGGAAAGGTCTGTGGAGCTGAGCTCAGGGGCCAGTAAATGTGCTACCTATGGGAGGTGACAAAGGACCATCCTAGGGGTTGACAGTGAAAAAGGAAAGGAGGCATAGGCTTGAGAGTCAGTACTGATGGGACTTGGCAAAAGAGTAGGTGAGTGAAAGGAGAGAAAGGGCAGGGTGTGTTGGCACATGCTTATAATTCAGCACTCTATGACACTGAGGCAAGAGGACTGCAAACTCAAGCCCAGCATGGGCAACTTAGCAAACTTCTCAGAATAGAAAAGGCCTGGGGGTGTCATGCAGTGCAAAGGCCCTGGTTTCTGTCCCCAGTAATGCAAATTAAAAGAGTGTTGCAGGTGGTAGGAGTAGGTAAGGAACCAGATTTGGGAGTAGAAGAGGTATGTGATGAGGGTAGCTGAGGAATTTGAGAGTGCATGAGAACCTCCCCATGGAGAGTTTCAGGAGCAGCCTGAACAGTTGAGTCAGAAATTGAGAACAAGGACTTGGGATGTAGCGCAATAGTGGCGCTCCTGCCTGACATGTGCAAAGCCCTGGGTTCTGTCCCCAGTACCAGGGGAAAAAATCAGCATCTGGAATTGAGAAAAAGTTGGACAAGATACAGCACAGGCATGAGCATCATCACCATCAAGTTGCCAGTGGATGACCCACAAAGAGTGAGATACAGGACCAGCTTTGTGGATGTGTGTCCCGTGTGTCACGCAGGACCTACACTTGGTGTGGTGGCACATAGCCCAACTACTTGGAAGGGTGAAGCAGGAGGATGGTGAGTTCAAGATCAGCCTGGGCAATTTAGTATAAGATCCTGTTTCAAAATTTTAAAAAGCAGGGAGGGCTAGAGATGCAGCTCAGAGATCCTTGGGTATAATCCTCAGTACACACACACACACACACACACACACACACACACACCACAATGGAGCATTGCATTTCCTTTTGTGTGGCAACCCACAATTTATACTGAGATATAGTAAAGGTAAAAGTAGGGTACAGGCAGAGATCCTTAGTTCCAGTCTATAGGTGGGACATGTGGTTGTTCGACAATGTCTTACTCAATAGTCCAGCCTGGACTACAGTTTGCTATCTTCCTGTCTCAGCCTCCCAAGAGCTAGGATTACAGGCTTGCATCATCATGCCCAGACGAGGTCTGTGATTCTCAGGAAATGGTATATACAATCTAATGCGTTTACGTAGTCATCATTTATCTAAGAATAGGGTTCCCAAATTTTGTGGCAGTCAGAAGTATCTATGGCCTGACAAATTACAAACCATTGATGGTGCAATTGCCCTCAGAAAGGGAACTGAGTATGTAGATGACAGAAGGGGGGGTTATTTGTCATTGGATGCTTTTTCTCTCTTTATTGTGGCTACTAATAAAGGGGGCAGGTTTCCAGCAGGGATTCACCAAGACTCAAAAGTGGGAAGAGGCATAAGGAACAGGAAGGGCCCAGTGCCTTTCATGTTGCAGAAGCTTAAAATGTGTGCAGCCTCTGAAGATGGCAGCAGGACTTCCCTCATGAGGGGAGCCACACACCACCAGCCTCCCTCCCCCATCCAGTCCCATCAGCCCACCCATCTGTGCGTTCCCTCCAGACGCCTACAGGGAAGAGCTCTGAACAGACGGAAGCCACAGCCAAGCTCCTGCCAGACTTCAGGGTGATTCTTCTCTGAGAGGCAGGCAACTCTTCACCTTCCCTGTGGCCAAGGCCTTTGCACTGGGCAGTAGTGAGAGACCAGTGAAGGGCTCTGGAGCCTGAGCCGCCGGGTATGGTTTCCTGGGCTGCTCTTCACCGGAGCAGCTGTGGCTGAGGGTCTGTGTTCCCTTCCCATTTTCTGGTACTCCCAGATCCCCTTTACTCACCGGGCCTCCTTTGTATTCCCTACTATAAATAGATTTAACCCAGGGGCTTTGCACTGAGCTCCATCCCAGTCCTTTTTTAATTTTGAGACAGGATCTTGTTAAATCACTAAATTGCCCAAACTGGGTGTGAACTAGGGATCCTCCTGCCTCAACTGCCAGAGTTGGGATTACAGGTGTGCACCACCACACCTGGAAAGGCCTCCTCATTCCCAGGTTGTGCACTCAGGGGAGGAAGGGCCAGAGCACAAGGCAGCCAGGCAGGAGGGCCTTCCACAGCTCTGGGCTCTGCTATGTCTAACCCTCCCCCAGAGACTAAGACAGGGACTTTGTCCTCTGCAGGGGCACCAGCATCATGGGCAGCAATCCTCTGTATGTGCAGGAAGTGCACACACACACACACACACACACACACACACACACTTCTCTTTATTACCTAAACAGTTTCAGTCCACACCAATATTGACTAAATTTTTTAATGGACATTTTATCTTTCATCCACAAATGTTTAAAGACTTTTTCCACTCAAGTACAAAACCTACACAGTATGCAAGCACTGTCCTGGGCCCTAGGAAGAAAATAAATATGTACTTGACAATGTTCCTGCCCCTCAAGTAATTCACACTGAAGCTGGGCAGAGGGAAAGGTGGTAACAAGGATAGCACAGGTAAAACTGCAGCACGCTAGACTGGGTTCTGACCAACTGCAGGCCATATCAGGTGCTCTAGAAATTCTGAGTGGAGGGCCAGGCATGGTGGCACATGCCTATAATCCTAGCACTTGGGAGGCTGAGGCAGGGGAGATCACTGTGAGTTTGAGGCCAGTCTGGACTACACAGTAACACCCTGTCTAAAAAAAAAGAAAGAAAGAAATTCTGAGTGGAAGAAATACACTTGGAAGATTTGTATCTTA